TGAGTGGTCACCGAGGGGTGGGAGGGATCGAAAAAACTAAAAAAAAATAGGTCACGTAGTATGGATATGTTCCCTAAGAAGCATACAGTACTCAGTGATCAATTAACTTCTCTGAGTGTAACCTTCAATACTACCAATATTAAAAAAAATCTTATACGTCTTTTACTAAGCAATTTTTTTTCCAGAAATGTTACGACACTGAACATGTCTCGGCAATGTTACTAATATAAATTGTTTATAGTTACTGCTACTATAGATACTAAGAATCTTTTTTTAATTGTTTCTAACATAGTTTAAGTGTTATACAAACATTATTAGGTTTAAAATAAAGATGTAAGTATTATAATGTAAAGAAACAGTTTATATCTGACATGTGCTGGTTGTTGTGGTCCCAGGCGAGCAGTTTGACCACATCGAAGCTGCCGTGTGTGAGAGGCAGAGCGCGGGGACCGTGCGCGTTGTGCTCCGCGCGCACCACGTGCCGGAACAGTCCCGCTGGACCGTCCCGCACTGGCGCCAGCGTCACCAGCGCACCGCCGCCAGCTGACCACAGCGGAGCTGGCGCGCTCTCCACCCAGCTCTCACTGCCTGATGTTATCCTGTACACCTAAATGCATCGATTATTTTTACATGTCATCAATATAAAAATAATCGACTAGCTTCTGCCCCTGACTGCGTCCGCACGGTATTAAAAAAACTTTATTACTAGCCTAATTGTTCTTCCAAATTATATTATACATTTGTGCCAAATTTCATCACGATCCGTAGAGCAGTTTTGGAGATACCTTTTAACAAACATCCATTCATTCACATTTATAATATTAGTAAGATAAATATTAGTAAAATTATTTTTTAATATTCAAACAATATGGCGCCTATTTATGCATATTCATATTTCAAATGTCTACCTCCTGACAGTTCCACATGGGGCTCTTGCAGACAGACACGACGGAGAGGTTCTGTATACGAGTGAGCCACACCACGCACACCTCTGTCAGCGACACCCACTGCGCGCTCGTCAAGTAGTAGTCCCTTAAGGAAAAATAACGTTGTCACCAGCCACAACAGTGGGTACTGCCGAATGCGCCCAGAATTAATTGTCTTCACTTTCTTCCAATACTAAACACTGTGTTAATCCTTGGGTATTTTTTAAAACAGGATAAAATAGAAAATATTAAATATAATAGTTTAACACTTTCTAGCTTTATTTAACCAAGTAGGGTGACATAAAGCGAAGTAAGTCTGGTCTTCCGACAACAAAAGTCTCCACTTTTCCCGATCCCGCGACTTCCCAACTCAGTCCCGGATTCGTAACTACCGAAGATTATGGAATTTAGACATTTGACTAATTGCGATTTGGGAAGATGCTTATAAGAATCGTTTTTTTTGTTAGTTATGTGTATCCCACTTACCCTTGTTCGAGGATTACTTTAGGGGGCGTGAGATGCCTCGTACGGATGTGCTTGGGGTCCGCGATGTCTGCAACTGTCAGCTTCACTGTGGGGTTATTGGTGCCCGGCTTTGGATACCTCACGCTCTTTATCTCTGGATATGTCTAGTATTGGAAATTAAGATTCTTATATTCTTCCATAATTTAATAACAAAATGTTGACTAAATTTTGGTACCCTAGGGACATACAACCATAGTTTCACTAAGAAACCAAATCAACGTTTCTCTTTTATTTACCTTGTTTATAAAATATCAGTCAAAAGTTTCAGACTTTTGAGCCTAGGAAGTACAAATTTAAAAAAAAAAAACTTTATTTAATAACAAAATTCAACAATAACCAAAGAAATTCATGTCACAAAGTAAACACACAAATGGGAGTTAATTCCACAGATTTAACAGTAACTTTACGTGAGAGAGTTCACCTTAGCAGGATCGTCAGTGTCCAGTGCGGCGCCGTACCAAGGGAACCTCTGCTCGCGCACCAGAGTATCATTGAATGTTGCGTACAGCACCATGTGCCCGTCACCTGACATCCACAGAGCGGAGCGCGACTTGAGGATCTCTTCTGCAACGAATATTACTGTGAATATCTAAATAATTGAGGCAACTCTCTCTATCGTCAAAATAGAAATACTATAAATAAGAAGACCAAAAGCACAAATCAAACCAAAATGATTCCCAAAATCGTTCTCAAATTAAATTACCTTCGTATAACCAATCAGGTACACCATTATATATTGTGCCGGTTTTCCCCGTGTCAGTGACGCGATATCCGGTGGAAGACCTTGGAGCTGGTCTATAGTAGATGTCATAGTCCCGCACAGTGATGAGCCCATGGCCTTTGGGAGTCCACATCGCGAGGAGGAGGTATGGACCCTCACTGATCACACCTCCTCCTACCTCGTCAGGTAAAGGTGTGAGGGGGTAAGATTCTCTGTAATGGAATTCAAAGTTTAGGTGTTGGTTCTTGTCTTTAGGACAATTTTTAGTATTTAAATCTTATATAATATTGGATTTATATTATTTTAAGCAAAAATTTGGAATGAAATATTTAAAAACTCCATATTTCAATGCTATTTATTCTCCAGACGCTTTTCATTATTTTAAAGTTAAAAACGTTTCGTCTGCATCTAAAGATTTCAAAATGTATAAAATATATTTAACTTTAGTTAACTTTAACAAAAGAGTAACGTGCAGTACAGAGCAGTGGATTCTTCAGTGAAACTTTAAAGCGAACATCTTCATTGAAACTTGAATAAATAAGTAGAACTCAGTCAGTTCTAGAGAAACTAAAGTCAACGCGGGTTTTGTTTACTTCAACTGAGCGAAGAATTGCATTATTTGAGAAGAACTATTATGTGTTACCGTTTTTGTTTAAATTGTAAGATACATATTAATTGAAAAATGGAAAGATCTGCGAACCTTTGAAGCGATTCATACACGTGACTTATCGGAAGTTGATGTCAGTTCTATACATTTTCGAAGTTCGTTATGGAATCGTTAATCTAATCTAATCTCATCTAATCTCATCTAATCTAATCTAAATATAACCGTTATACTCAAGTACCCTTGATCAGATGGCAGCACCGATAATTTAATATCATTCTTTAATTACGCTTCACGAAAATTTAAACGATTTACCGTAGGTTTCTTAGACCAAGATCGCTACTAAACATGTTGATATCTCTGTTTTATCAAAGATAATTACAGGGTTGACGATATGTTTATACAGAGATTTAGCACTTTGAAACTACCGGTTAGTTATTTGGCAATTTATTCATAACCACTATACGACTTTATAATTCATTTAGCCAGATATGTAGGTCGGTAACAAACTCAGTAATCGTCTCATTCAGTTCATTCAGTCATTCGTTCAATTTTCTACTTACGTGGTCAGTATATCGTATACTGTATATCTAGCGAGGTAGGAGTGACGGTGGAGTTGACGTAGACTTTGGGCCAGCAAAAGAAATCGACGGTCAGCGGACAACGAGAAAGACGCTGGTTCTAGAACTCTCTGGTAACAAAATAATTAACATAAGATTACTCAAATAGCATAATCACGGGAAGAACGTCGCTGGCATAGATACCAAGCGGAGAAGGAAAACATCGTGGCGCAGAAATTTATAAAGGTATACGTCAAAATTAAATTTAAGCTAGACTTGTGTCTGTAGAAAAGGGATGTGTGACTACTAATAAACAGGAAACATGTCGTCATAGTTCAATACTTACAAATGTAGTGTTTGGCATAAGCGTTTTGGAAGTCTGATTAGCCGCGAACATGAGGCTGATACCGCCCCACGCATCTCTGTATACATATTCATCTCCTGAAACAAAGATGCATTGAATACTACGTCGGATTATTAATAACTATAACATAAAACTTTTAAATTATGTAGAAAATAGTGTTATGTAACATTTTACTCGTTTTATAACTTCGCTTCAAGATTTTCGTTATTTTTAAATATTGCTACTTTAATTACCATAGACTTATAGTTCACTAGCTGTTGCCTGCAACTCCGTCCGTTAATCCGTCCGGGATTAAAAAAAAAAACTTAATAAGTAGCCTACGTGTTTTTTCAGACTATGTTCTATATATGTGACTAATTTCAACAAAATCCGTTGAGCCATACGGGAGATAAATTCATTCAAATATCCATCCATCTAAACTTTTGCATTTATAATATTAGTAAGAAGTAAGATAAGATGTGACTTCTTGTGAAGACTGTAGCAAAAAAAAAACATTTTAACCCAAAAGTACGCATAAAACTTAACTATATTTATGATGTACATTTAGAAGTTTATTTAACGGAATGGAATGAAATATTCGTAGCGCGACATCTTGCGTTAATAAAAGCAAACGCCTAGTAAAATATTCAGAGTAATCAGTAAAGAGAATTTTTACGAGCGAACCTGCAATTTGCTTAATATACACATTCTACGCCTATTCACAGGATTGCTTCGTTTAGGTTTATTCATACGAATTTAATCTATGTAAATAAATACTAAATACATATTTATAAAGTATATAATCTTTATATATGTATAATTCTTCTGTGAGTGTGTATGTCACTGAACTTCTCTCAAACGACTGGAGCGATTTTGATGAAATTTTTTGTGTGTGTTCAAGGGGATCTGGGAATGGTTTAGATTCACAATTTTGTCCGCTGGACAATATTTTTTTAATTAATTTTTAATTTATTATTAGTTGTTGATTTTGGAATGTTTTACATTGGATCCGACAGACGGAGCTACCGTCGCAGTGTCAAATTTTAAATAATATTCAAGTTAAAGACGTGTAGACAGGACAACGTCTGTCGGGTCCGCTAGTTTATTTATAAGGCTTTAAAGAAACAACGTGTTATTTAATTGCTATACTCAAAGTCTAACCCTAAGTTTCCGAGACCAAAATCTTTGACAAAACAGAGATAATATGTTTTAAATGGGTATTTTGGTATCAGAAACTGACGGTAAGTTGAACATTACTAAGACTCTTAGTATGACGGTAAATATTTTAACGATTTGAATTATACATCTGCACTATCCTAAAAGCAACTTCTCTTCTTAGGCAAAAAAAAATTGTTCTTAGGTTTATTTCAAAACTTAATTTTATTGTACCATAGCCAAGGCATACCTGATATCCAGGTGCCATTCCATCGCACAGGCACCAGTTCATCAGTAAGCAGGTCCTGGATACGGAAACGACGGCCCCTGATCCTGGGCCCCTCATCAGGTGGTGTGAGCAATACCACGGAGGTGACAATCAGCGCCAGTACAAGGACAATCACCAGGAGTGCGATGAGGATACCGCGCCAGTTCCTCTGGTTGGGACCTCCCACCACCAGCTTCTGTAACAAATGTACATGTTATTTTTGTGGTAAATAGTACATTGAACTATAATTTCACACGACAACCACATTATTTCGAAGGAGACTTCTTTCTTGTTCAGAAGAGTACATTATGTTCCAACCATACGTAGAAAAAAGGGCACGCTGATAATCTATCATATTCTTTTTTACATCCCGCTCTTATTAGAAAGGTATGGAAGATTAATAGACAAAGATCGGGTCTAGTTATATGTGGCAGCCAAAATGTATTTAATTCCATTGATCTTTGACTTTTTATATTTAAACTCTTATTTAGTTATTAGTTGACCGAACCTCTACCACGATCATATTTCATTATTAAATTTTCCCGCTCTTTTCTCTTCTTTTTTCATCTTTATTTCATTCTAATTTAAAATAGACAAAAGTCTTAGTGGCCAGTCTGCCACCTCTTTGGTAGAACGCAAACTTCTTGTCTACCAAAGAGGTTGAATACATAATTCTTTGCTAAACAATATTCCACTGATTTTTTTTAATAATTCACAGCTAAATTAATAACAGTAATTTATTCAATCAATTGTTATAATAAATTATTTAAGTAATTTTATAATTCGTGTAGTTTGAAACAAGTATCGTAGTAAATATCTGTCCATTAATCTGAACATTATGTTCGTGTAACGACTTCAGAGACGTGCGCAGGAAGAGGCTCATTTATCATTTTAGCAACAATACGTTCCAACTTTATAAAGCCTTATTCAAGTTACCTTATATTAAACATTATAAATTAAACAATTTTTAAAAGATAACCTTAAAATTTTATGTAATAATATTTCCATTAAGTAATTATATAAATAACAAAACCTATACACAAATATGAAGCAAATGTCCAGCTTCACTTAGAGTTTTTAAATCTTAGTAATATTATAAACGCGAATGTACAGATGGATATCCATCCATATGGGTGTTTGAAGGTATCTCCAGAATGGCTGAACGGATCTCGATGAAATTTGACATACGTAACACATAGCCTACTAATTATATTTATCTTTTAATTCCGCGGGGACGGAGTCGCGGGCGACCGCTAGTGATAACATACGTGGTAAGTGTAGATATATCGGATTTAATCTACACTAAGGCATGGTCTTAGTGGCCATTTCTCTGCATGGCGTCAAAGTTGCGTCCAAGGGAATCTAAAATTATTATCAAACTCTCTTATAATTTTAAAGAGAGGTTTGTCCCGCGCCAAATGGTAATCCGTTGTGCCTGTCTACCTCTTTAGTTTTCGTTGATATGTCTATGTACTTTTGTGTGATAATAATATTAAACGATAGAGGGTGTTGTATTTTCTCGAGTACTTTTCATCTAGTAGTTAACTCGCAATCAATGTTGACACAAACAAACATATGCTACGGCAAAACATCCTGAAGTCGTTAGTGTGCGTAGAATATCGAATATTTTAGACCTGACAATAAAAATATTTTTTTGTATTTTTTTCATGTTAAAATAATTATGGATTGAAAAATGGTTTTATAATGTTACAATAATAAATAAATATATTTCTAAAGCACTCATTTTTGTATTCGAGTATTGAAGTGTTTTTTTTTTAAATGATGTAAAATTTTATAAGCTTTTATTTTTATATTTTAACTAAAAGAATTTAAACGTTATTCTTATATTATTTAAATGCTAAAAAAAGCACAATCAGATTCTAGATTTATTTTGCATATTTTATATAAGAGAAATAAAGTAAATACGACTCATAAATCTTTCTTTAACAACATTACGGTTCATTTCTTTCAGTAATGAAAAAAGTTTTATTGTAATCTTATATAAATATAGTTATTATATAAGTTTGTGGTTTGCTAACGAAATTACGACTATGAAAACTTATCTATATAAATACTTATTTGTTGAAATTTAACTTTGTTTTTAACCTAAGACTAGCTGTCGCCCGCGATTCCGTCCGCGTGGATATAATAAAACTTAATTAGTGTAGCCCACCCATCCATCTATCCATATCACATCCATCTAAACATTCGCATTTATAATATTAGTAAGTTAAATAAAAAACAGCTCTTCAAGGCATAAATTAAAAAAAAATTGAATAAATAGTATCCTAAGTCCGTCTCCTGGCTCTAAGCTACCTCCTCACCAATTTTCAGCCATGTCAGTACAGCCGTTCTTGAGTTATAAATAGCGTAACTAACACGACTTACTTTTATATATATAGATATGGATGGGTGGTACACTGATTAAGTTTTTTATATATCCACACGGCCGGAATCGCGGGCGACAGCTAGTGTCGTATAAAACAAACATAGACTTACTTCATCAATTAATTTCTAGATATTAAGCTACTGTATTTAAAAAAGAACAGTTATTACTAAAAATCAGATAATATTATTTTAAACGATTAATTTAATTAACATATTAAAATTACAAAAAATAAAATAATTATATAAAATTTGAAATCTCAGACTTAATAAGTAATAGAGTGATTTTTTATACGTAGACTTTATATTCGATGTACATGTGTAAACATTGTTTAGTCTGTGGTGCGGTGCAATCAGAGAGAACGCAGGCTGTGCTCTCAGAGCGGTACAATAGAGTCCAGGGTTAAGATGTGGTCCGATATTGTAGCTCTATGTTGCGTTGTGCTGTATTGCGTTCAGGCGAAGCTGGCTAGCGAGGAAGATGCAATGGACTCTGGTGAGATGGGTACGTAATTATCTTATACTAGCTGTCGCCCGCGACTCTATTCGCGAAAAATTTAAAAAAAACTTTATTAGTAACCTATGTGTTCTTCCACGTTCTACATCTATACCAAATTTTAGCGAGATCTATATAGCCGTTCTGGAGATATCTTCAAACAAACATCCATCCATCCATCCAAACATTCCCATTTATAATATTATTTATCTTACATAAAATTGTCGTATGACAATGTTAGTTATTATACTACTCAGAAACCGATTTTTATTAAACTTAATGTGCATATTCAATAGGTCTGAAAATCGATTACTATATTTTCTTAATCCCGTATGAACGGAGTCGCTGGCGGTAGCTAGTATATTATAAATACGTTAAACAAGCTCCAGGATTTCTTGATAATTGTTACTTAAGTGTGCAAGAATCAAAAGAGTTACGATTGCGTTGCTGGCCTTTTTCTAATGGACTGAGAGAAGATATCTTTGGAAAGATTAGATGTACCTTTTCTTCCCATAAGGAGAAGAGGGTTTCTCATTATTTTACTATTTACATAGAGAGAAAAGTTTTATCGTCATCATATTCAACCTAAATTCATCCACTGCTAGACGTAGGCGTCCCCCATCGATTGCCACAATGCCCGATCCTGTGCCTTGAAAGAAAAGTTTACGGCAACTCAATTATTCTGTCTAGTAAAAACTACTTCGAAAAAATTCAACGACCGCTGATAACATTATCATTGTTTGTTACTTCGTAACTTGATTGAAATTTTTTTTTTCTTCAGCTGACCGTGATATGGACGAATTGGATACAAACAGCACAAATATTACCCAAGCTAATATCAGTGGTAAGTTAACTTCCAAGCATCATTCTTAGGAGATCGAATCAAAATTGTTTAAAAAGAAATAAAAACGTTCGATATTTAAAAAGAAATATGAAAATACAAAAGCAAGTTCCAGCCAGATATAAAACAAAGAACGAAAAATTAATTAATTTTAGAGATTATTATTTAGAGTCCTTTGGCGAGAATGGCGCGCTTTCGTTACAAAGTCAAGTGTCAGAATGATTAGTGATGAGACCGTCGACATTTCAGTAAAGCTAGTGTTGCGCCAGTACACCGGCACATTGTCGGATTTTCTTCCTAACATTATTAACCAGTCGAACTCTTTAGGAGACCGCGATGTCGAGGACAGCGGGGAGCACATAGGGCCAGCTGTGACTCAAGTCTACCAGCATCCCTACGCAGGCTCGCTGCTACATAACAGCACCTACGTCTGCAGCGCCACCATTCTCAACACATATTGGTCGCTTACGCTGTCAAAGTGCTTTGATCCGTGAGTAAACCATCAGCTTTTGCGGGCCTAAACCATGTTATAGGTGACTAGGTCATAGACAACGCTAGACAAGTACGGATTGCTTGACTTTGGATTTATTTGCAGACTAATTGTCGCCTGCGACTCCGTCCGCGAAGAATTAAAAATATATATGTATATATATTAGAAGTCTTGATTAGTGTTCATATAGAGTTCCTTCTTACAAACATCCATCCATCCATTCAGATTTATTATATTAGTAAGAATCAAGATCGTAAGATAAGATTTGAGCATTACGATGTTTTCCTTCACCGTAATTAAGCAATGTTTGTCTGTCTTTCATGGCCTTGTTATTTATTACTAAGCGACATTTTATATTCTATAAAAAAACTAAGCTCGTTTAACAATAGTTTCGTTATGTTATATATTAATTTCAGAGACATAATATCATCGTACGTGACACATAAGTATCTTGGCAACTACACGCTGCGTGTCGGCAGCTCATATAACAACAAGAGTGGTGCCATACATAAGGTAAATATATAATACATTATAAAACAACACAAATTAATTGTGCAATAGGTCAGAAAAACTAATAATGTATCTCTACATATTAATAAATAGGAGTATTTGTATGTAATATTGAAAAGTAAGTTATTTCGTATACATGATGTATATGCGTAGCTGATAATGAAAAGACAATTTTTTAAATTCTTGTCTGTCTGTGTGTCTCTCCTCTCGTAAGGCCGAGTTTGTTTAGGGTAATCTACGGAACAACTAGACCGATTTAAACGGGACTTGAACGGGAAGGTAGCAGATGCACGCAAATTACAGGCTATTTTTTTTAATTCTGCTCCGACAAAATGACAGACTGAGCGCTAATTGTGCTATAAAAATCAATCACACATTTAGAACTCAGTTTTCGTTGTCTTCTGTAATATAGGGATATATTTACATTGCGTATAACTATTATAATTTTTATAGATAAGAATCCTAATTAACAACTTCGACTTGAAAGTATCGGCTATGAAGTTGACTGTGGCCTTGGAGTTTAGCGCACGCATCGCTCCTGTCAGCCTGCCCAAGCCGGATGAAGAGGTCAATTTGGGTTACCTCGCCTCCATACTAGCGTGGACGCCAAATGGGGTAAGCAAATATTACAATAAATCTGACTAAAGTATTAAGTTATAATCTTTTTTTTTAAATAGAAAAAGATATTTTTGTTAAACTCTTTTGTTCTATTTTTGCAGCATTTACGTGTACTCAATGCGCCTCTGATAGACTCTACAATATGCGAACCTGCGACAAAACTGTTGCCCGGACACTACGTTTGTGCCGCCGGGGTGCAGGATCCTAATCGACACTTCTGTCGAGTAAGTAATTATTAATTTTTACATAAGAATTAATATAAATAAAAAGAATTACATAGTCAAATAAACATGCGATATATAATAATTTGTATGTAATGATTACGGCAATTCAGTGTATGTTTGGATGGATGGATGGTTGGATGAAGTGATGGATGTTTGTTAGAAAGTATCTACAGAATGGCACAACGGACCTTCTTGAAATTTGGTATAGATGTAGAACATAGTCTGTAAGAACACATAACCTACTTATTAAGTTTTTATAATTCCGTGCGGACAGAGTCGCGGGCAACAGCTAGTTCCCAATAAATCTATATTTTCATTACTATGTTACTTCCCGTAATATTAAGTGCTAAATGAGGCATTTTTTCAGAGAGATGACGGCGGAGCTGTCATACAAAACAACACTCTAGTCGGCATCGCAACATTCCTGCACACGTGTGCAGTATACACGAGAACACACGCCTTCCCAAAAGTATCCAGCTTCGCGAGATGGCTAGACTCCGTCATCTGGGACGAAGAGAACAGACCGACAGTCTTCACACCAACATCGTCTACGATAACCACACAAGCAATTGCCAACGCGACAGAAAATCAACCGGAATTTCAACACATATTTGGAGATACAAGGAAACAAATGCTATCTATACCTTTTGCTCCTATCAGTGTACCATTGGAGCCAGCTGAAGATAATTCAGTGTTACCAAGAATGAGTATGTATGAATCTTATCTACAAAGTATAGCAAGAGCTAGGACATCGACAACACAAGATCCTGTTGCTGTTGAAGAAGTCAAAAGAGCATGGTTACAAAAATTCGAAAAGAAATATAATTTACGCAGCGAACCACAAATGGCACAGAATAACAAATATGGCCTTTATCCATGATTATTTTCGCACTCAGAGATATGATGACTAATTGACTGTTTTGAGTACAGTAATTGTTATATTAAGAACTTTATATTTGGAATTGTGAAGTGACCGAAAAGGATTATTGAAGAATCACTTGCAATTATTACTTCTTAGCAATCTAAGCTAAAATATAATATTTTATACAGTAATAAAATAAATAAATAAATTGTTTTTCATTTAAAAAAACTATCAGCTTGATTACTTTAGAAAATATATTTTAAAACCAAAATAAAAGATGACCTTAATTTTAGTTAACAAAATGACGTAATTTTTACTTTTCTTTTCTGCCAGTATGTAGCCTAAGGCTGTTACTTTTTAATTCTCTCTGCATTGTTTTGAAAGCCTTCACAAGACAAGTGGGAGGGAGGTTTTTTACTATTTACATAGGACTGTTGACATATACAAAGGTCGCGCGGGTCTTTGTGGCTTGAGAGACTTGTAGGAACATATACAGGGTGTAATTTAGATGATAAAAGTTTTGTGTGTAAAAAAAAAATCTTTCCGATATTATAAAGAATTAATCACATAATAAAATAATTTGAGATCGACTTTAAGTTCCAATTTAAATCACTGAAAAAAACCTAAACTCTATCTATAATCAATCTTAGTTAAATATTTTTTTTAACTCGGAATACATTGATCCATATAATTCTAGAGTTAGTAACGGCTCAAAAACTAATTTTAATGCCAATAATATTAAAAAGAAGTAAAGTTCCTTAGGTATTCCGAAATGCGCTTGTCTAGATGTTTTAAGTTTATACGTTTTATAGCTAACGCAATCAATTTCCTAACTACATATAACATTAAGCGGATATATCAACTAGAGAATATATGAGAAACGTGTACTCGCTTCCTGAGGATATATGAGGACATAACTCACTGCACTAGTCTGCGACGGCTTCTTTCTAACATAAGAATTGCATTCCTAATGATCACACAAGATTAAAAACCTTTGTTAAAGGTTAAAATATAGAACTTGAATTTCCAAGCTAAACTATTTTTCATTGCATTCGACTGAAGTAAAAACACAATGAGTTTTTTTAACTTTTTTAAAATTCAATTTATTATAAACTTTACAGAAAAATCTTATTTTATGTATTGTTTTTAATATATGAAAGTTTTTATTTTAAAAATACAAAAACATTATGACAATCACAGTGAATGAAATATAATTTTTCAGAGCAGATGTAAAGTAGTGATATTCAACGAGGTGGAAACACGAACACCCTGTAATGTAATTATTATCGGCAGCCATGTTGGCCGAACTCCAAAATGTAATATGGCCGACATACAGCCTGATTGTTCATTTACTTAATACCTTTTTATATCAATAAGCTTATATTTTAATTAATAATTGATTTTAACATTGTTATGTGTATAATTATATATTTAAACCTAAAAGGCAAATAGATTCTAAATCTATAAGAACTAAACATAAATGATAAACACAATAAGCGCGAGTGACTGTCCCCTTATGACATTCAGGGAACGAAAACGAATATAAACATTTCTCATCTTATAATCGGATTAGCTGTCACCCGCGACTACTTCCACACTGAAAAAAACTTTATAAGTATGCCTATGTGTTCTTCCAGACTATGTTCTACATCTATGTCAAATTACAGCGAGATCCATACCTCAGTCCTATCAACCATTCGCATTTATAATATTAGTAGTTGCCATCTATTCAAGCAAAATATTATAACAATAATTATTTGGCGTTAGTATCAATGTTAAAATTGCATTGATTTCTTTTATCTTACTCGTTCTGAAACGTACGTATTGCTTTATAAATATTGTAAATATACAAGGTAAAACACTCAGTTTGTATTATTCCAGTCCAGTGAATCCAGCACTTGACAACTGGAAAAATGTAAACCCACAATGAAATGCAATCCATCTAAACTGAACATATTAGTGGTAAAATTCAGTTGTATCGATTAAAAGACTTATCTATAATATGTTTTATTTAAAAATATAGACCTATTATACCTTTGAATCTTTTTAAATTAACTCTATTTTTATTCCTACTATTTAATTTTCATTTTATTGCTATAAAAATACAAACTGTGATGAAAAATTAATGAAACGATCGTAAAAGTCAGATTTTCTTTTTTATATTCTCAAAATAATTACGTCAGAAATGTTCACAAGATTTTATAGCTTAGTATACTGACGTAAAGACTTTACATAAAAAAAAACATTAAAATTATTTTAAACACTTCGTGCAATTTTGTAAGATATCGCGAATTTTTATTGTCGAAAATTTAACAAAACACGTAAACAACATATATTTTTATATGAAAAGCAGTCACCCTGTATTTCTAACATTTTATCATGTGTTTAAAACGTATTTTTAATAACATAGTAAATTGAGCAAATGAAACAGATGTTGAATTAATTATTTTTTACTTTTAAATCTTTAATAGCTTTATTTCTTGTCAAAACATTTAGTTTATATTGCCTAAGGTTTGTATCAAGATTCCTATCCATTTAGAAACAAAAAATCTTTTGCAAAATATTACCTTTGTCAGCAATCCAGGTAGGTTCCTATTGCGTACGCCATTTTACTGCCACATTCAAAGTTTAATAAATCCACACTAAGGGTCTCCTTCAGTGATAAATTGACGTATGTATGTGTAATCATTTAGTATGTTATGGAATTAAAAACAATACAGAAGAAATATAAATCAATACGCAAACTGGAGTGTTTGTCACACTCTACCGCAATGCGGGTTAATCTTCTATAAATTATTTATAGTACATTTAAACATCACTAAACGTAATAAAAACATACTTTATGAGTAGTATAAATTATTAATCTAAAAGTACACATACACTAAATAAATAAAAATTATAAAAATAGCGCGAATAATTTTTATCAAAATAAATCGAAATTTATTTTTAAAATGTACATATTTGATTTTAAAATTTGTGAAATAAAAACGAGAAAACTCGTTTGCAGTTCACAAAATGATCGCGCCAAGCGGAATATTAATAATTTCATATCGTGTTTCGTTTGGTTTCGCAAACAACGCGTTTCAAACGAATAGAGTAGCGTTCCAAACGAGTATTGAAGAGATTCGTTTAAAACGGGAATCGCAGTCGGGTTTTCGGCTCGCTGGCTTAGTACGTAGAAAAGCAATAACGTTAGTAAAATCAAAATTGTTATTTTGTAGCTTTAAGTTTTGGGAACAATGTAGGTTTAATATAGTTTCTCTAGGAGATTTATTGTTCGACAATTTATAGCTAAGATCATAAAGTGAGGGGAATTTTAATCATTTATTCATTTAGTAGTGTCGCCCGTGACTTCATCCGCGCGGAATTAAAAAAAGTAAGTATCCTATGTGTTCTTCCAGATTATGTTTTACATTTGTGCCAAATTGCAATGAGATCCATGCGACTGTTTTGGAGATATCTTCAAACAAAGAAACATACATGCAAACATTCGCATATATTAGTAAGATAAATACTGTGGCTTGAATATATTTGATTTCATAATCATCTCATATTTACTACAAACCTGTAATATGTACTCTGATGCACCTGTGTCGAAGTAACTATGTCATAAAGTGAATATAAAATATATCAGTAGTATAAAAGGCCTCGTATCGCTGAAACATTATTCTTACATGAACCAGCACTTAAGATGAATGCTGGCGCTCGTTTCATTTTTGTTTTTAAAATTTCTTTAAAGTGCACAATATTGTATTCATCTTGGATCGGGAGATTTTCAATTCTTTCTACGTGTTATAATAGCTGTTATAACTTAGTAATAACAAAATATTTTAACTCAAAGGATTCAAACAATTACGTTTTATTTAGTAATTAATGTTAGGAAGAAAATCCGACACTGTGCCGGTGTATCGGCGCAACACTAGCCTTATTAAAATGACAACGTTTATGTCCCCTCACTAATCAGCCAAAAAATTTGAAATACACACTCTTCTTGAATTTTATGGTTTTGTTTTCCTTAACCGTTTGTATGCTGATTTGTCTTAGTTAATGCACCTGTATTTAAAAATATTTTGTTCCTTAAAAATTTAAATTTTTATATCTCTTTGGGAGTTGAATTACACACATCCATGAATTTTAAAAGAAAAAATGTCCTTCAAAAGTTATTAAAAATAAGCAAATATTGTATTTCCTTACAAAACGAGTAACTTTGCAGCATTCGCTTGGCACAACTCGACGTCACATTTATCAAACAGAAGTTTGTAGATGTTCACAGCTTACAGCAGCTGCTAAACTTCTCGTAATGTCTTTCAACAATGTAGTCGCGACTTGTAACAAGTTTCTTATGTTTTCATCGATTTCTTTCATGACCAAAAAGTTTTATAATAACAGAGTATAACAGGAAGCATATTGTTTAGATGTGAACGGTATTTTGTTGACGATTCTGTCATAAATTGGTATTTAAAGAAACTTATAGGTTAGAAAATAGCTATATTGAGTGTTTTTCCAATGCTATAATTCCCATTAAACACTCTCAGAGTATACATAACAAAGATTTATTTCCATTTAAAAATATAAGCATAGATATAAAGTTTAAATCATGGTTTTATCGAAACGATTCTTAAATGTTATTTTCCAAACGATCAATTTCAATAACTATATAGTTTTCCACTTCTTTGCGTTTCAACGGATTTAAAACTTGTTGCTTTAGTTTGAAAGCTATGATAAATAATACTTTAGCATTATTTTTCATATTTAGCTATATACTGAATCATTATGCTATAAACTCGAATAATTTTCTTTCTGTGCATCCTCTCCTCCGTCGATTAAAGGTAGGCAACGTATATGCAATTGCGTGTGTCTATGGGCAACGGTCACTTCGCTATTTAGCGATTTCAGGTGGCCGCTCGCTCGTTTGCCGCCTTATGATATAAAAAAAAATTAAAAAAATGACTTGAGTGATCGAAACGGCTTATTTCAAATCTGATCGTTACTTGATTAAATTTAATTAAGCAATAACATAACCTTACTAAAATAACAAACAAATAAGAAACAATTGAACAACGTTTAATGTTAAATAAAGTCAATATTATAATATTATTAGTAGTTAGTTTGAAATAATGAGAGTGTCAGCCGCGCGAGGGACGGC